GCACCCGAGCCGAAAGACGGCAGCGGAGGCGAGGATGGCGACGGCCAAGGCGGAGCTCGCGCTGTTTGACCAGGTGCTGCAGGCTCCCGCGTTTGTGGCGGACCCGTTTTCCGCCATTGAGGGGCACCTGAGCGGGGCGATGGCGTGCCTGCAGCCGCAGACCCCCGACGTGGGGCGCCGCCGCGCGGAGGAGTAGGGCCGCCGCAGCGGCGGTGCTGCACGTGTGGCGGGCACGAGGCTCGAGAGCGGCTGCGGGGGGGCAGACGAGGGAGCGGGGCTTCCCTACGGCACGAGTGGCGGCGGCGGGCGGCGACGGGCAGGGACGGAGCCGTCCTTTGCGGGCGGTGCCCGACCCCTCCACCGTTTTTCTCTTTCTCTTTCGTGCGGGAGGTGGTAAGTAACTTTCTTACGCCACGCGTGCCTCTCCCCGTGCGTCCTCCTGCACGCGGCTTCTCCGCGGCCTCTGGTTGCCCATCCCTCCCTCCCTCCCTCTACCTCTCTTTGTGTCTCCCCCGCGGCTTGACGCGTGTGCCTGTCACGCCTCGCCCCCTTCTGTGCCGCCTCTTTCCCTTTGCCCTCTCTCCCCCGTCCCCGTGGCGTGCTGGCGGTGGTGGCGGATAGCAACAAGCCAGGGAGCAAAATCAGCCGGTAAAACAAAGGTGATTCCTCGTTCGATAACTAATTTCAATGTCCTCGTCGACGAAGCAGTATTCGTGGGAGCGCGTGCTGGCGTGCTGTGACTCCTTCAAGGGGACGCTCACCGCGTGCGACGCCGGCCTCGCCATTGAGCGTGCGTTCCGCGGCTTCGAGAAGGGCGGTTCCGCTCGGGTGGATGTGGTGCACTGCCCCATGTCCGACGGCGGCGCCGGCCTGCTGGACAGCCTGCTCTTTCCGGACCACTCGCAGCTGTCGTCGCCGTACACCTTCACCAAGGTGGAGGTGCCGACGGCTGGCGCCACCGGCTCCGCCGAGCTGCCGCAGCCGCCGCTTGTTGTTGGTCCGTTGGGCGAGCCGCTGAACTGCGTCGGCAGCGCCTACCGGCCGTACTTTGCGTGCGACGTGGCGAACAGAGTGGTTGTGGTGGAGATGGCCATTGCGGCGGGCCTGCCGATGGTCCCCGAGGAGGAGCGGAACCCGCTGCGCACGACGAGCTACGGCGTGGGCCAGGTCATCAAGTACGCCGTGGAGTACGTCGCGACCCAGCAGCGCCGCATGCACGGCCCCGACGCTGACGGCGGCGTGACGGTGTTTCTCGGCATCGGCGGCAGCGCCACGAACGACGGCGGGCTTGGCGCGCTGCAGGCCCTTGGTCTGGAGATGCTCGTGAAGGGCAAGCTTGGCGGCGCCGAGCCACTGAGCACGCCGTTCGTCGGTGGCGACCTGGAGCGCCTCGTGGGCGTGCGCCCCACCCCGGCGTTCCGGCAGATGTTCTTCTGCGCCGCGGGAAGCTGCAGGAGGACGCCGTACTGCAGGGAGGTGCGCCTGATCGTTGACGTGGCCAGCCCGCTGGTTGGCCCGGACGGCGCCACGGCGATCTTCGGGCCGCAGAAGTGTTCCTCTGCGTGGGACAAGGCGCGCCGGGAGTCCGTGCTGGCGCGGCTGGAGCGCGGCATGCTGAACGCCTCCGCTGCGGTGGCGCGGAGCAACCTCCACGGGAAGGCCGCGAGCGAGGCGGAGATGAAGCGGCGCCTGGACGGCCTGCGCCACACCCACGGCGGTGGCGGCGCCGGCGGCATGAGCGGCCTCTTCCGCTACATTGCGGCCGCGAAGTGGATGTCCGGCGCCGACGTTGTGGCGGAGCTGCTGGGTCTCCCGGCGAAGCTGCAGCGCTGCGACTGCATGATCACCGGCGAGGGCTCCTTTGACGAGCAGACGATCCGCTTCAACAAGACGCTGGGCAGGCTGCTGCAGATGGTGGTGCTGGAGAACGTGCGCCGCGGCGGCGCCGGCCAGCAGCTGCTCGGGGACGTCCTGGTGATCTGCGGCCGAACTTCCTATCGGGACGAGGAGGAGGTGCAGCGTGTGCTGCTTGACCACATGCGCAAGCAGAAGGAGCACGACGACGCCGCCGCGCTCGCCGCCGCCGTCCCGCGCGTGCACCTGCTGGCGCTCACGCCAGACCACTTCCCTGTGTCGGAGGCGCTGGGCAAGGCGGGCGTGTGCGTGGAGGAGCGCATGAGGCGCTTTCTGGCCGGAGAAGAGAGGCCGGCCGGCGAGGGCCGCGCGGTGGTTCCCGTCGCTGAGAAGAAGCACCCTAAACTGTAGCGCGTCTCCGCGTCTTGCAGGCGGCGGCGGCGGCGGTGCAGGGGCTGGGCCGCGCTTCTTTTTCCCCCGCGTCGGCGAGGCATCGATGATTGTAAGGCAGGTTAACTTCTAAGCATCCAAGCACTAGTCAAAAGAGAAAAAAAAACGTTATATGCAATCTCTTTTATTTCCTTTTTTTCTTTCTGTTTTTGTTTTTGTTTTTGCCCTTAAAAATTAAAATTCGAGGGAGGGACGTGAAATGCAACAAAAGAGTGCCGAGTGTAGCACCGGAGGAGGGTCCTTTTTCTCCGCTTGTCTACGTTGCCGGGTCCGTTCAATGAACTGATGCGTAGCTGCAAGTGTGCACGAAGTGTTGTGTGTGTGCGTGTGTGTGTGTT